TGCCATGAATCAAGAGGTCCCTAAGGATCTGTGCTCCACTCAGAACAGGCCCAGGTCTCATTTGTCCCAACTGCCCCCACTGGGTGCTGTTGACTTCATGTTTGAACACGGACAGATGGGCCTCGGTGCCCCGCTCTGCACACCTGCTGTGGCGGACCGGGAGAAGCAGGGCTGTGCCTAGTGTTTGGGGACTGTGGAAGGAGGGTTACAGGAGGAGCTGGACTCGAGGAGCACCAGCCACGTTTTCCCATGCAAGCGGGAACCCGTGGCTTTCCCTGAACATGCTTCAGTTTTGCACCCAGAGTGACTTGGGCGGTACATTCACACCCCACAGCTGGCTCATCTTCCTCTCTTCCTCATGCTGAAGCAATTGCATGAATGCAAAAACTCCTGGGCACAAGTGTACACAGGGCACGGTGGATCTGGGCGAAAGAAGACAGCACTAGGTGCGCTTCTACTGCCGGCTCCCTTATCTCCAGCATGGGTCCTTCAGAGCCCTCTGGGAGGCTGCTCTGTAAGGCCGCATCTGTGCCTGGTCTGCTTAAAGGAGCATGAGGGCCAGGCCTCTGAAGCTCCCTTCTCTTCCACCCCTCTCTCCCTAGATCATGGCAGTCGCAGGCCTCGATTCAAGTAAAGCCCCAAAGTACTCACCGAGCCACTCTACCCGGTCGTGGGCCACCCCTCCAGCAACCCCTCCGTATCGGGACTGGACACCGTGCTATACCCCTCTGATCCAGGTGGATCGGTCAGAGTCCTTGGACCAGGTCAATGGCAGCCTGCCATCCCTGCACCGCAGCTCCTGGTACACGGACGAGCCTGACATCTCCTATCGGACTTTCACACCAGCCAGCCTGACTGTCCCCAGCAGCTTCCGTAACAAAAACAGCGACAAGCAGAGGAGTGCAGACAGCTTGGTAGAGGCAGTGAGTATAGTTCTTGGCCATGGGAGGGCAGGCCCCACGAACAGCAGAGGCTAGAGCCAGTCCCATGGCAGGAGAAGGTGGTGTAATTAGCGTGATTAGGTGCTCCAGAGCCGCACCACCCAGGTTTGATGTCTCTAGTAGCAGGAAGAGTCCAGCTACATCTCATGAGTGAGCTGCACTGTCCCGACATGTGCACTTCCTGCCAGTATCACTGCTCTGGACATGTCTCTCTGGTGGGCGCAACCCTTGTTAGGCCATGAGCAGCTTCCCAGCTCTGTGACATTTTCAGAGCTGAAGCCATTTGCGTTTGGTTGTCACAAGTAAAGTCTAGTGAATAGCACTAGCGCACGTCCCTAAAGCACGTCATGCAGGTTAGTGTGGGAACAGATCTTTCTGCCACTGCCCTCCAGCCTCATCATGCACGCACTCCGTTGGTCCTCTTTCCCACACAGGTCCTGATATCCGAAGGCTTAGGACGCTATGCAAGGGACCCAAAATTTGTGTCCGCAACCAAACATGAAATCGCTGATGCCTGTGACCTAACCATTGATGAGATGGAGAGTGCAGCCAGCACCCTGCTCAACGGGAGCACGTGTCCTCGAGCTAACGGGGACGTGGGCCTTGTCTCGCACCAGCAGGACTACGAGCTCCAGGACTTTGGGCCTGGCTACAGCGACGAGGAGCCGGACCCGGGAAGAGATGAGGAGGACCTGGCCGATGAAATGATCTGTATCACCACCTTGTAGCCCCATCGAGGGGCAGACTGGCTCTGGCCTCAGGTGGGGCGCAGGAGGGCCAAGGATAAAGTGCCTCATAGTTAGGAAAGTTTAGGCACTAGGCGGGAGAAAAATATTCACAATTAGACTTCTGTACAAGCGATGTCATGCCTCAAGGAAGCCATAAACCTGGTAGGAACCGGTTCCAAGCAGCTGCACCTAGCAGTGCACCGTGCACTCAGCCCGGCCGCAGCAGACAGCAGGTCCAGCCCTCGAGACAGGATGGGTGAGGAGATAGACCAGCCCCACGCGACACACAGACGGGTACTATGCCCAGGGCACCCACCCACGCCCACCCAAAGGCACGGTGGGGGAAGGTTAAAGGTGATGACAATCACCACACCCGTGTCATTACCTCAGCCGCTGGTCTAGCCTATCAGCATATCCATTTTTAACCCCTTTCCCAAAACACACTGCTTCCTGGTTCCAGTTCTGCTCTTCTGCAGTACGGAATGTCAGAACCCCGCCACCAGCGGTCATCACAAGAGGCGTGGGACCTGACAGATAAGGTTTTCTGTTATGCAGCGCCAGTTTACTTGCGAGAACTTCACTCGGATGGTCAGTTCTGACTGTCGCGCTTAAGGGCAGCTGTAAACTGGAATAACGATGCACTTGCAGCCAGGTAAACTTAGATACGCTAGTTTAAAAATTATAGATTTACTTACTGTACATGACTTGTAATATACAGTTTGTATTTGTAAAGAGATGGTCTATATTTTGTAATTATTGTACCGTATTTGAACTGCAGCAATATCCAACGGGTCCTAACAATTGTAGATCCCCACTGAAATCTAGAAATTATTAGTATTTTTACTGGGGCTATACAGAAGTAGAAGAAATAGACGCAATTCTCACTTAATTCAGTGAAAATCCTTTGGGGGTAAAATTTTGAGTTCGAAAGAACTTGACACTACAGAAATTTTTCTAAAATATTTTGAGTCACTATAAACCTATCTTTACATAAGATGTACAAGATGACTATCTGCAGTCTTTTCTTTGGGCAGGAGTTCTGTTTTGATATTGTACCTTTTCTCCATGGGTTGCAACTGTCTCCTGTTTGGCTTTATTTTAATAACCCTCCAGTTAGTTTATGGAGTAGGTCACACTGGCTACTCTGCCCCTGCGTCATCCTTAGGTTCGGTTTCCTCTTTCCTGTGTCTCTGCTGTGGAAATAACTTCACAGATGAACACAGCGCATGCACGCCTGTGCCCTGGCACTGGTGGTGCTGCTTGTCTTAAGAAATAAGGGGGGTCGGGAGGGGAAGGGAAGGAGCGCCGTGGAGACCTATGGGGTTGGAATGTTGGGGTCTGTGCAGATCGTACTGTGGCCTTTTACACATCATCGCTGTGCTGTGTTCTATTTGAGGGCTTTTATATGCAACTGAAAGAGGGCTGATGTTTTCATGAGAATGCACTCACTCCGACTGTACGTCTGGGGAAAACCCACTTTCGGATCATTGGAACTGTCAAGGTTTCCTTTCTGTTCCCGGAGTCACGCCGCTGCCGTCACTTACCTTGGCAGGGATTCGCTGCAATCAAAACGACAGGTAGCAATTTTGGTTCAGGATTTTTAACTAATACATAGGCAACCTGTCAATGTTTTTTTTTTTTTTTTTGTAAATAAGGACACTTTGTTATAAAGACCTCACAAACCTCTTCGTAAGACATTCTTAAAAATCCAGATCCAGGCAAAAACACTTCAAGGTTTGTAAATGACTCTTTCCTGACATAAAGCCTTTTTTTTATTAAAATGCAAAATGTTCTTCAGAATAAAACTGTGTAATTTCATTGTATTTGGGAGCTCTCGTTGCACTGGGCTGGCTTCGCCAGTGAGAGCTTCGGAGGAACAGGTGCTCTCGAGGGCAGCTCTGGAATCAGGTAGCTTTTTCTCATCCTCTGGCTCTCTCCACGCCCGAGGTAACTTAATACCAGCTGCAGAGAGCACCACTTCTCCTAAAGGGCTAAATCACTGTCAACATTATCTCAGACTGTGCGTCTGTTGGGTCTCAGTCTTATTGTGTGGCTTAACATCGGCAGGCCAAAATCGCCATCCCGCTGCTGTATGTTCTAGAACAGGTGATAACCTCACCCTAAGTCAGTGAACACTGGTGTTTTACAGGCTGCACCACTTCCCGGTGTCTGTCTGCCTTCAGCCTGGTTCAATCTCTCATCTAATATTAAATTTCTTTTTGTAAGAAAAATTTGAAGTTGTAGAGTATGGTTCTTTCCCTTTGTTTTAGGAAAGTTTCAGGATTAAATATCTGTACTTTTTTTGTGTACCCTCTCCCCCTGCGAAAGATTCTGTGTCCATAGGAACAGAATAGTTTCTTCAGTGTCTTTAATAATAACATAAAGTAAAAATGGCTGCTATGATTTAACCGTCCACGACCCGTGAGGAGCTAGTGAAGGACCGACTGTGCTCAGGGTGTGGACGTCCACTTAGACACAAGGCACATCCCAGCTCCCGTGTGCGCAGGACCCGACAGAGGCTGGGGGTGGGGTGGGGGCGGGGCAGGGCAGGGCAGGAGGGCAGCAGAAGCCTCTGGGCACTTGGTATGGGCACTAGGATGATGGTAGCTGGATGAGCCCACTTGATTGTGACTCCACTCTAGGAAGAAGCCAGAATGGTTTGTCTCACATGATGTATTTCTTAGAGTCTAAAGGGTCCTTGCAACTGCATTTTCCACAGGCTTTTATTTTTAGGATGGACAGCTGACTTGCTTGTAAAAATGGGTTAGATGCAGAGCTGACATCTTGCACAAAGCCCCACCTCCCTTGCTGTCACCCAGATCAAAAGCTGACTCCGCTACGCTCACTTGTTGGAAAGTTGTTTCTCCTCCTCTCTTGGGAACTGGGAAGGCCGGGAAGAATGAGGCCCAGACCTGGGCCTACTTCCAACATCAGAACACGGTTGAGGAGGGCGATCTGAAGACAGCTTGGGGGTGGGGGGTTGGAGGAAGGAGGCCAGCAAGGGCCACCTGTGCCACCAGCCAGGGCTTATGAACCGGGAGTGGGGTGGGAGGGGGAGTATTTTCTTCTGATTTGTGTGTGTGTGTGTCTTTTTGAGACAGGGTCTCATTATGCAGTTCAGGCTGGCCTTGAACTCACTTTGTAGCCCAAGCTGGTCTCAAACTTGCAAAGATCCTCCTGCCTCAGCCTCCCAAGTGTTGGGATTACAGGTGTATGCCACCTCGCCTGGCTGTTTCTTCGGATTTCTAAGAGAAAGAAATCTGTGTAATAGATTTGATATCATGTTAGTTTACCCATGGAAATATGAAAAAAACCTTAGAGGACCAAGATGTGGCTTCGATGAAGAATCTATTTGAATTTATGAAAATTACTGCCACAGCCTGCCCCGGAAGTGGAAAGGCTGTATGTTAAGGGACAACCTCCCATTTCTAAGACATGCCATTTCCGGTTATGATGCTGGAGGATCTATTCCCCTCTGTGGTCTTTCCCTTCCTCTCTCAGGAACACTTTTGGTGGGGCGCAAGCAGAGTTGTTTCACAGGACAGGACTCCTCAGAACTCTAGGCACATGCACTGCTTTCTATTAGACCCTTTCAACCATGCTTTTGCAAAACACTGGCTTCTGCTTTATAGGTATTACAAGCTCTTTGCCCAGGGGCTTTGCTCAAGTCTACCTGATTCCCCACAAGACTGTGGCTAGCAGGGCCCTCCTGGTGGAGGGCTGTGGATGAAAGCTGTGGGCCAGGCAGGGAGGGGCAGAGAACTCTCTAGGAGAAGTCTCTTGGCAGACTTAGAAATGTCTTCTAAAAAAAAAAAAAAATGTCTTGTATGACCATCTTTTAAAACAAGATAAAAAAGTAAGATACAGGTAAGATTAAACAAGAGCTGCCTAAGGTCTGAAAAGAAAGGAGAAAAGTCAAGCATGGTGGTGCACTCTTGTGATCTCATCTGTTTAAGAGGCGAGTTCAAGGCCAGCCTGGGCACCTTAGTGAGACCATGCCTCAAAGTGAAAAAAGAAAAAGAAGTGTGATGCAGTTTTCTTTTTTCTACCTTTCTGGAAGGTTTTTCTCAGAAACTCCCAAGTTTTTCTCCTTATCCTGAGCTCAGCGTGGCAAGTTTCCAGATGGCAATTGTTTTCTTCCCTGCTCTAGGTGGTGGCTTTGGGTATCTTGAGAAAAATCAATCCAAGATTCATTAGCTGTTATTCCCTGGTAGAACAGTCCGGAGAAGGCATCTTAGTTAACAAGTTACTGGATGACATTTCTGAATTGCAAGGAATTAAAAGATCAAAGAGCTGTTGTACATGGTACTTGTATCTTTTTTCTCCTGAAAACTCGAATCTTCTCCGCTTTATTTTTCTTTCACCCAGTTGTACTTAAGTGCTTTTCCATCTGTCCCAGCACAGACGTGGTCTGTTCCCACAGACGTGCAGAGAATAAGAATCCACCGGCACTGTCTGCAAGGCAGCTGCAGCCGCTGGGCCGCTTCCCAGGGCCTGAGAGGTTCTCCCCGCATCTCTGCTTCAGGATGAAGCACTGCCCTAGTATGAGGGGCTGGCTCTAGGCTTCTGCGTTTCCTGGTGACAGGAAGACCTTCTAAAATGTCAAATTACGAATGCTTTGGTAATGAGGCCCTAGTGACTTCCTTCCTTGAACAAGGTCGAGAAAGCCTCTACTGAGATCGTATTTCTTAAAAACCAGAGCACAAGAGCTGGGGCCGTAAGCCCCTCGGTCACCCAGACTGAGCCCTGGATTCACCTCACCCTGTGAGTGAAGGGAGGGTGGGAGAGAAAGGGGACCCTAGGTTCCCCCTCACTGGCAGCTATGCCCTAACCAGGGACGCCAGGGACTGTGTGCCAGCCTGTGCCGAGCTGACTCTGGTGTGATGCTTGGCTTCAGCTTAAAACTTGCAGCCTCCTGCTCAGGGAGCCCAGCTTGGTGCAGCAGCCGCACAGCCCCTGTGTAGAGCACCCTCCCTAAGGGGGAGCCTGCAGAGAACCATTCCAGCCAAGGGAGCAGGCCCCTGGGTTGGAGCAGGCCACGTGCGCATGAGAAAGGACATGGTGTAAGTTAACCCTCCTCCTCTACCAGCCCCACCTCCCCGCTTTGTCCCTGCAGGAGGCGGGGAGGAGGGGCCTGGCCTGAGTGCTGGCCTCCCCCAAAGGGCCCACAGGGAAACAGTGGGGAAAATGAATTTGACTCGCTGACTAGTACTGGTCACACTCCCTGAGATGTTTTCTAGGTCTCAGCCACTGAGTAGGGCCACCTGGGTCCCAGTGTCCTGGACAGTTTCAAGAAGGAGCCCTGGAGCCAGGGCTGTGCTGGTCAGTCGCCCTGGCTTGCCCAGGGCTTCTCTGATCATCCTCAGCAGTGGCTGCATTAACGCTGGGTGGCCAGTGTCTTGGGCTTGTACACAGGAACCTCCTTATCCCAGAGGGCAGGCAGGCCCTTAATAATGTCGGACGCTTTCTCTGCGATCATGATCGTGGGAGCGTTCAGGTTGCCGCTGACCACGCTGGGCATGATAGAGGCGTCCACAACCCTGAGGTTCTCCACCCCAAGCACCCTGGTCTCTGGGTCCACCACAGCTGTGGGATCAGAGGGCTGGCCCATCTTACAGGTGCACGAGGGGTGGTAGGCACTGTCAGCTTTTGCCCGCACAAAGGCGTCTATCTCCTTATCCGACTGCACGTGGCTTCCTGGCTGGAGCTCCTCGCCCCGGAAAGGAGCCAGGGCTTCCTGCGCAAAGATTTCTCTGGACAGCTTCACACACTGACGGAAATCCTTGATATCAGATTCTGAGGAGAGGAGACAAGTGAAGCCCCTCTTATTGTGCTAGCCTCACAAGAGTCACAGGACGGAGAGGCTCCACAAGCTATGGGAGACAAAGCTTACAGCCCCGGAGGACTGAGCCACCAGGTACTCGTCCCTTGCCCATAGGTAGCTGACGTCCTAGCTCTGTGACAGCCTGCCCCAGAGGCCTGGGTTTAAATCAGGGGTCCGACTTCGCTATTCAGGGATAGGAACACACATCCCACCCACAAATGCCCATGCATCATCATAGGGCAAAGCCTGCCCCATGGGGAGGGCTGCCTGCAGAGGCACCGGCAGTGCGACCTGCTTTAGGGCGAGGACATAGCGGGCGAGCGCGTGCCCAGGCCCGGCGCTTGTGCCTCCTGCGGCCTCCTCTGCAAATGTCCCTCTCCTGCTGTGCAAAAAGAGCCCCTGGGGTTACTCTGTGCACAGTGCAAAGCGGCTCTGGCAATTCACAGCCTAGCCTGGGCTGGGAAGAACAGAGGGCAGCCTGGGTCCTGGGACGGGGAGCTCCGGGGTAAAATGCAGGGATGAAAAGGAACTCTCCCTCATTCGAGCCAGACGCAGGACAGACAAAGCTGGTGCTCAGTTACCTGTTGACAGGTAGTTGGGTTGGATCACAGGGTGCTCCTGGGGGTTGGCACTTCTCAGCCTGAGCCAGCCCACACTCGTGGCCCGCATGGTCCCCACATGTACCTAAGGGAGCCCAGAGGACACAGTGAAATCCACAGCGAGCTGCATCAACCCCGACTCAGTGGGTTGGAGAGGCCTCAGGTCCTGGGTGGGGGCAGGGGGACCTCTGCATCAGAGTAGTTTAGAGCAGAGATGGTGAAGCATGCGCCTACCTCCTACCCATTTCAACAAGTAATTCAAAACCAGCTCAGCGAACCGCTCCTCCCTCCCACCTTGATATTCCGCTGTCCCGAACTTCCAGGGTGGCACTCCCAGGGCCAAAGCAGCCCTATTTGTCCCATGCCAGTGTCTAGGTCCTAGAACCCCTGCCCTGAGTGCTGCAGGTCCTACTCCTTCACAGGCTGCGGACTGATACGCTCTGTTCCTGGTGCTCACTCCTTGGGGGAAGATTCCAGGCCTGGCTTCCTCACCCCATGCGCTGGAGGGCGGGCACCAAACGCCCTGTCGTAGTGGGAAGGATGCAGCTCCCCAAGAAAATGGGAGCATCTGCCCTACCGCGGCAGGAAAGGCAGCATCGCGGGCAGAGGCTCCACCTGCTCACCTGGTAAGCCTCTTGCTGGGTGGGGATCCGTCCATGGTCAATCACTTGGGAAGGCAGGAAATGGAACTGGATGTCCGGGTGGGGGACCCCGGGCTGGCTGCGGATGAACCCACCCGTTTCCAGATGGGAAGTGGCTCCATCCCCTGTGGGTCGGAAGAGGACAAGGCAGAAGGGCCAGTCAGGCTGGGCTGTTCCCGGTTCCCTCCTTGCCCCGTGCAGCTCCTCCTTGGTGCCCAGCCCCAAGCCCTGTCCGTAGCTGCGCTCTTTCCCCTAGGTGGGCTCACCCAGCACCACAGCTTTAAATATCAATCATATGTCAGGTGGAGGACTGGCACGTTGCCACCTCCACCTGCCCACCGGCCCTGCCCACCATCTAGCCGAGTGTGGGGGAGATGCTCAGTGAGGGGGAGCATCTCTAAGAGTGGCTTCTTGGCCAAATATGTGCAAGATCTGCAGCCCAGCCCCAGGACCTCCCCTCTGTGCCTTTCCTCTGGGTCCTGAACCCCATGTGGGACTCATCCCTGACACCTGCCAGAGAAGCAGCACCTCGCCCTTGGGCAGCCTCATCTTGACAAGTGCTACTGCTTCTGGTCCTCACACCAGCCCATCAGGCAGGAACATTGGACACCCCTTTTGCAGATAAGAGACTTGGGCCCAAGGTAAATGGCAGAGTTCAAAGCTAGCAATGTGCGACCAGAGCCCTCACTCAACTCCTCAAGAGACAGACCGTGATACCTACAGACAGTATCTACCAGCGTCACCAAGGAGCCCACCTGTGAATTTCCAGAACCACTCCAGACCGATGCAGAGCTTCCGCAGGGGCTTCTGGGCAGAGTGGAGGGTGATGGGGTGGGTGCATGCCTGCTGAATGTACACTTCCAGGTGGTCCTGCAGGTTCTGGCCAACTCCTGAAACAGGAGGACGTGGTGAAGGGAAGTGGCTACCAACAGGGGCTTAGCTGGCTTCTCAATATCCCTGCGGGTCTGAAAAGCTCCCCTGTGCGCTTATCTCCTGGACCAGCGCCGGCCGGGACCCTGGGTCTCCGCTGAAATGTCACTTCACAAGAAGCCAAGCCTGCAGTGTGCAGTCCCTGCCAAGTCCGGCCCTTTCTCACGCCGCCCAGGCCACCTACCCTGTCAGTACGGGAAAGGCTGGCGGGAGAAGGGCAAAGAAAACAGTGCAAGGACTTTGTATCCAGCGAGGTCCAGGGGCCCACAGACCTGTGGAAGGACGTGGCAGCTGCGTGCAGCACCACTGCTGTCCCCACCCCCCACCCCCCACCAAGCTAACAGAACACACCGCGCTGTTCCGTTTGCAGAAGCAGGCTCGGAGAGCCGCGAGGGAGGCGCTCACCAGGCAGGTGGCACACCACGGGGATGCCCAGCTTCCTGAGATCGTCCGCGTTCCCCAAACCAGACAGCATGAGCAGCTGCGGGGAGTTGATGGCACCCCCACTCAAGATCACTTCCTTGCTGGCGTAGACCTGGAGGAAAGCAGGGGGCTGGCCTGTTCTCCTTCCTGAAGAGTCAGCTGCTCCCCAGGCTCGTGGGCCAGTCCACACCGCCAGATCATGGCCTGGAGGTGTGGTCCCACACAGAGCACCAGGAACACAGAAAGCCCCCGCCGGCCTGGAGGAAGAGGCGGGGCCTCGCTGTGCAGCCATGTTCACTGTGAGGTGTGAACCCCAAGGGTGGGCCGGGCTCTGAACGTCTGCAATAGCCAGACGGTAACAAAACACGGGGCACGGACTCAAACGAGATCCATGAAGGTAGGCTCTGAAATGAGCCCTAAAAACAAGCAATGAGACAGATCTACTCATGGGTGTGCAAATCAATCTGACACACTACTGAGCAGAGAAAATGTGCAGTCACATTTCCTGCACAGTGTGTGATCATATTTATGGGTGTGAGAACCTCTAGTATGAACCTACAAATTTCTGTCAGGTCAATACCCTGAAAGGGCACAGACGCTACCCGGAGACATCCCTGCGTGAGCACCTATACTAGGGCACCCGGCATCTTTGCCCGTGGTGGGACTGGGGACTTCCTCAGCTCGCTGCTTCCTGCGAGGCTACAGGGACAGTCCACCACCCCTGCCACCAGCCGCTCACTCACCAAGAGCCTGCAGTTGGGAGCAGGGCATGACTTCTGCCCACCCTGAACCCGACCTGCCCCCTCAGCCGCCCGGGCGCTCACTGGAGTCCACTCACCTTGTGGTTCTGGCCGTTCTTGACGTACTCCACACCCACTGCACGGGTGCCCTCAAACAGTACCCTGCTCACCAGCGCCTGGGTCTCAGCCTTGAGGTTGGGGCGGCTCAGTGCTGGGTGCAGGTAGGCACAGGCCGAGCTCCAGCGCTTGCCTGCAGGACACAGCGAGGTCAGAAACGGCCCCCTGCCCTTCCCTGGGCAAGGAGAGGGAGCAGGAGAAAGAGCCGTTTGCCTTGCCTCTGCCTGAACAAGCCCCGCCTTGTAGGACTGAGACCTGGACCCGGCCCTACCGAAGTCCAGGTTGACCCACGGGCCACCCGCCACAGGTGGAAACCGTCCTTCACCTTGGCAGGGGGACACGGAGACCAGCAGCAACAGACAGAAGAGTGAGAGGCCTGAGGAGGGTCAGCCCTGGCCACGCCCCTGTTCTGTGAGCAAGTCCCTGGTCCGCTCTGTGCCTCAATTTCCCCATCTATAAAGGAGGGACACGGCCCAACAGCAAAGATAAGGAAGCCCAGAGAAACAGGCAAGAGAACCATGAGCTCCTAGCTGGCTCCCTGTGCCTCCGTTTCCCCATCTGCGTGGCTGGAAGACTCGGGGCCTTTTGTCCAGAGAGCCGATCCTCCTGTCTACCCAGCAGGGGCCCCAGGCCCGCGCGTAGCCCAAGGGGCACCGCGCCGTCATTGCTCACTGGCTCTGGCCGCATTCGGTGGCATCTAGGCGTGCGGTAAGTCACCTCCCTTCCCGCCCAGCACCAGCCCCCTTGGCCACACTTGCTCATCACAGCCGGGCCGGGCGGGAGGGCGCGAGCAGGGCGCCGGGGAGCCGGGCGCCCACCTTCATGGATGGTCCTGTCCATCCAGCCGAAGCCCTCCTGCTGGAAGCCGTTCATGTCCTCGGTGAGCGGGTAGCCGGCCTGCTGCGCGGCGCTCAGGAAGGCGCGGTGCAGCGGGTGGTGGCGCGGGCCCCGGGCCACGCGC